AGATGACTTAAAATAGTGCGGGCTTTTATTAAGTAACGATACGATCTATTTCAAAGACATTGGACGTTGATCTCACGTTGACTATAGGAAAAGTTAACTGCGTCCAATGATATATTGAAACAAACTCACTAATCTATAGAAAGATCTATGATTCATGGCATGCTTCATCTCTACGTACATTACATTGCATTGTACTCTTCTCCATTATTGTATTGTGCAACAAGCGATTCGACGCTTTCCGTATTAAAATTCCTAAGAACAGTACACAATTAGGTAAGTTTTATGTGTTACAAACAGGGAATGGAAGAGTTACTACGTCGTTACTTTTACTGTTACTTCTTATAATAATCATTTGATAATGTTGCAATTTTTTATGATTATAATGATAACTAATTAAACGTTGAAGTCGCACTAAGGTTAGGAAAGTCACTTTGAAAAATAACTTGTTACCGTTACGCGTTATTTATTGAAAAAAAAAAAATAAGTAACGCATTGATGAATTGTTTTTTCCATCACAAGTAACAAACAAAAGTAACTAGTTACAAATCAAAAATTACTTTTTTCAGTAATGAATTTTCCAACCCGTTACAAGTAACATTTTCCAACTCAGATGTTATCTTTATGAAAATTCGCAACGTTATTACTCAGTTATTATTATATTACTATAACAAAGTAACGATAAAAAATAACGGCGCTATTAACATGTACTTCCATTCCCTAGCTACAAATTATATATGAAATTTTATGTGCTGTATATATTTCTGTATGGAAATTGTATACACGTATATACAAGTGTGTGAATGATGTATGTGTGTGTAATGAAAAAAGAAGTCATCTGTCAGTAAGTTTATATTGCTTGAGTAAAAGTTATGTTTATCAATTGATTGGAGCTTGATATTACGTTTGTTACTTTTTTTACATTATGAAAGGTGCCAAAAAAAATATTCGCATAATATGTTTAATTTACGCACTGTGATATTTCATCAGAGAAATGCAATTCTTTTATTGTATCTAATCATGTTTCCAAAGTCTTAAATCAAATATCTCAAAAGCACATTGATTCTGCGAGTATCTTAAAGAGAGAGAAAGAGAGCGAGAGCGAGAGAGAGTCGTCAGATATTAACAGTGCCTAATTATAGACAATATACCATCTTATTTCACTGCCATTTGCTGTCACTGATTTTGCCGATGTGTGCCTAGCTGTGATTCTTTGCTATTCAATTTGGCAAATTTGCGATTTGATGATAAACAAAAGAAAGTACGAAGGGGAACAAAGCTTATTTGGCTAATAACATTCTAATTTTTCTATAATAGACAAAAGTAGTAAGGGATTTGCTTTCTTAAGATAAGAAAAGAATAAGATGTAACTTATAATTGGGTAAAATTGGAACATTATATTTTTTGTACAAACGTAAACGTCGATAAAATGTTTATTCGATATTGCATAATGTGGTTCAATTGCGCTAATTGCACAAGTGATGGAGACAATAATCGATGACTACAAAAAAAAAGGGTAAAATGTAAGATATTTTCAGCCCGTTCTATAAAGAAAATTTATCGTTTGATAAAATAATGGAATTAATCAAATTTTGTACAAAGGAACTGATCAGTATTCTATATTAGAAGATAAAACTTAAAAATAAAAAAAATGCCATACGTTTATGGTCATTTCTGAATCTTTCTCCGAATTGGTTCCTTTCTGCAAGATGTGATCTGATTATACCTGATCGGCTTTTCATCGAAAAATGTATACTACAATTACAGATCTCTTTTAAATCGTAATCTGCATTGATGAATAGCGAATCGATTAGATAGGTGTTGCGAAATCTTTTCAGCATGTTAAGCTCTGTCACGTTCGAACGAGCACGATGCATTACTATAAGATGTACGTGTACGTGAATAGTTTCTCATACGCAACATTATACTTATAGCTTATACTTCACATTATCACCACGTCTTAATTTCCTTGTTAACTGAATCATTATAGATTAGTCGCGATGCCCGTTTACAAAACAGTCTTGCCTGAGCCTTTGTGCCTGATCTTCAAAACGATCCTTCGAATTTCCTTCCAAGTCTGCGGGAATTCGACTTCAAGCTTAACGCTCTCAAGGATTGATGGAACACTATACACTTTGTTGCGCGCCGCCCAAATTCGTGCCTTGGCTGCCTTTTATATTACATAGTTATATAAGCGATATGATATATGCAATTTTTTTATGTGTAATAGCAGGAATGTGAGGGTGAAATATGTATCCAAAAGTATATAGAAATTTTCCCATTCGATAAGAGAAAAAAAAATTGTATAAGAATCCCCTTAATTGTTCACGTGTAAAATAAATGTACAGCTCTGTGCTTGCATTGCAATGTCACACACGTATATAGTACACATATAGCTATATATGCACGCACACACGTATATAGTACATATATAGCTATATATTAGTCTACATACGTAGACGTCTGATATCGAGTCTTATTTCTCTAATGATTACAGTCCTGCGATGTGTGACTCAAGTTGTGAGCAATCCAACTACCTTGAATAGGAAAATGCTCGTGCCTTGGAAATATATAGAAGGAACTGAAAGCATCTGCAATAACGAGATGTAGACAGAGTGCCGCGGATATGTCAGCGATATAGTATCAATTCTTATCGCTTTAAAATATATAAATATGTTCCTATTATATTTCTGATATATTATT